CTAGCCTAGCTTCTGCACCCGCCCCGTCCCCGGCCTCTGCCACTGCCTCGCTGTCCTTCACGCTCGACTCCGGTGCTTCTGCCTGTTTCTTCCGTGACCGGTTCACGCTCACGCCGCTTGCTGCACCTGCGGTTGTCTCCCTCGCTGACCCCTCTGCCGGTCCTGTCGTCGCTCGCAGTTCCACTTCCCTTCCCTGTCCAGCCGTTCCCTCGGGCTCTCTTACAGGCTTCCACGTTCCCTCGTTCTCCAGGAACCTGGTTGGTGTCGGCCGTCTTCAGGACCTCGGCGTCACCACCACGTTCCCTGGGCACGAGCGGTTCGCTGTCTGTACCGAGGCAGTCTCAGGTTCCCCTCTTGCGACGTTCCCCCGGGACCCGGTGTCTGGTCTGTTTACCCTCGACACCGCTTCCCCCCCGGTTGGTGCGTCCTCCCAGGTCGCTGCAGCTTGCTCGTGTCGGTCCTCACTCACCCGTCCCTTCTCTTGCACCACCGCTTAGGTCACCCTGCTCTCCCACGTCTGCGTCACATGTCTCAGCACGGTCTTGTCTTAGGCCTCCCCGCGTCGCTCCCTGCCCTCCCACCCTCGACTGCGCCACCGTGCACGCCTTGCGTCGAGGGCCGGCTCCGCCGTGCTCCTCACTCCTCCTCGCTGCGTCCTGCTACTGCCCCCCTTCAGACCCTGCACCTGGACGTTTGGGGCCCGGCCCCCGTCCCCGGACCGCGCGGTGAGCGCTACTCTCTTGTGCTCGTCGACGACTACACGCGCTACACCACGGTGTTTCCCCTGGAGCGGAAGGCCGACGTGCCCGACGTTCTTCTCCCGTGGGTTGTGGCTGCATGTCTTCACCGTGGTCTCCCTGTGTTGTGTCTCCACTCTGACCGTGGCGGTGAGTTCGCCTCTGGTCGGCTTGGACAGTTCTGTCGTGCGGAGGGCATCACCCAGTCGTACACCTTGCCGGACTCGCCACAGCAGAATGGGGTTGCTGAGCGCCGCATCGGTTTGGTCATGGAGGTGGCTCGTACCTCCATGATCCATGCCGATGCCCCCCATTTTCTGTGGCCGTTCGCTGTCCGCTACGCTGCTCACCAGCTTAACCTGTGGGCCCGCTCCCAGCGGCCGCAGGTTTCGCCGACCCTCCTTTGGACCGGGTCCCCCGGTGACGCGTCTGCGTTCCACGTCTGGGGTTGCCTTGCTCACGTTCGTGCCTCTGGTACGGACAAGCTCACGGCCCGCACTGTCCCCTGTGTCTTCCTCGGTTTCCCCTAGACTCGTCTGACTGGCTCTTCTACCACCCGCCGTCTCACCGCTTCTCCACTCCGTGACGTCACCTTTGACGAGTCTGTCTCCTTCTACCGCTGCTTCCCTCACCGAGGTCTCCCGGTTGCCCCACCCCTCTTCCTTGCTCCCTCTCCCCCGGTAGCCCCTGCTCCTCTCCCGCCTCGTCCTGCCCCGTCTGGTGTCTCTCACGTCACTCCCCTCCCGTCGGTTGTCCAGTTGAGGAGTCAGCTGACTCTGGTGGTCCCCCCGGCCCGTCCCTGCCGCGTCCCCCTTCCCCGGTGTCTCCGCCTTCCCTGCCGCTGCCACCGCCGCCACCGCCGCCGCCGCCGCAGCCGCTGCAGCCGCCGTCGCCGCCGCCGCCGCTGCCGGCCCTTGGCCCCTGGGGGTGCTGGCGTCGAGGAGGGTGTTCGTCCTGCCGCGCCTGGAGTGGTCTGTCCTGGCGGGCCTGGGGGTGCCGCTGGTGCTGGAGGGTGTTCTCGCTCTGGGGGTGTTGGTTCTGGGGGTGCTGCCGTTGAGAGTTCTGCCGGTCCCGAGGGTCGCGGCCCAGCCGCCGCAGCAGCCCCAGCAGCCGTCGCCGCCGGGTCTCCGCTCTTCGCCTGCTCGGCCTTCCCTCCCCTGACCGCTCGCCGGTGTCTCCCCCACCGCCTGCTGACCTTCCTGTCTACGGTCCTGTGTTCCCGCCGCCGGACTCGTCTCCGGCCCGTCTTCCTCCTCGTTTTCCTCTTGTGTCCCCTCCGCTGTCTCCTGACCCTACACCTCCGTCCCACGTTTGGTCTCGTCGTCCCTCACGTGCCCGTCCCGTCTCTCCTGTCCTGCCCTCCCACCCTATGTTGCTCCGTTCCCACTCGTCTCGTCCTCCCCTCCTCCCGTCACCTCCTCCCTCGTCGCTTGCTGTTGCACCTCCTCCGTTCTCTGACTACCTCCGTGCCGCTTCGTCCCCTTGTCCCTCGGGTTCTTGCCTCTCTTGTTTCCGACCCTTCTGTTCCGGTCTCGCGCCTTGACGCGCTTGTCGCTGCTGTCGCCTGACTTCGCCTCTACCCGCCGCCTTGACTACACTACCGCTCTGGTCTCTGACCCTGCCCGTCCTCCGTCCGTCGGGGGTGCTCCTGCCCTTGGCAGTGACGTCCTAGAGGACAGGCAGTACGAGCTTGCTTTCCTTTCCGAGGCTGCTCCCCATCTCTGCTCCATGCTGTTAGTCCCTGAGGGTGACCCAGACGCCTTCGACATCCCGACCCCTCGCACTTACGCTGAGGCCACCTTCGGGACCTTGGGCCTCTCAGTGGATAGCTGCCATGGAGCACGAGATGGCATCTTGGAGGTCCAACCGGCACTTACGTCGACGCAGTTCCCCCGCCTGGGTGAACGTAGTCGATGGTCGGTGGCTCTTCAAGGTGAAGCGCCCCCCTGGAGAGCCACCTCTGTTCAAGGCGCGCTACGTGGCCAGAGGCTTCAGTCAGCGTGAGGGGGTTGACTTCTTTCAGACCTTCGCCCCGAACCCCGAAGATGACTACTCTTCGGGCGCTGCTACACGTAGCAGCACAGCGCGACTACGAGCTTCACTCCTCGACTTCTCTACTGCCTTTCTTCAGGGCAGCCTACACGAGCAGGTCTACCTGCGCCGACCACAGGGCTTCACTGGTACCTTCCCCCCTGGGACCCAGTGGCTTCTCAGGCGCCCGGTCTACGGCCTGCGTCAGGCTCCTCGCGAGTGGCACGACACGCTGCGGGCCACGTTAGCAGACCTGCAGTTCTTTCCGTCCTCTGCTGACCCGTCGCTTTTTGTGCGTTCCGGCCAGACTCCGTTCTACATCCTTGTCTACGTAGACGACCTGGTCTTTGCTACTGCTGACAGGGACGCACTGGCCTCTGTGAAGGCCGAGCTGCTGAAGAGACACATTCTCACTGACCTTGGAGAGCTGCGTCGCTATCTTGGCCTGCAGATCTCTAGGGACAGAGCAGCACGCACCATCACTCTGACACAGTCACACTTGGTGCGTCAGGTCCTTCAGAGGTTCGGTCTTCAGTTCTCCTCCGCACAGCCCACACCTCTTCTAGTAGACCATGGGCTCTCCCGCTCCTATTCCTGAGGAGCCAGTAGAGCCCAGTGGCCCCTACGCAGAGCTGGTGGGTTGCCTCATGTACCTGATGACTTGCCACTCGCCCCAGATCTTGCATACCCTCTCAGCATCCTGGCTCGCTTTGTGGCCACAGGCAGACACCCGACCTCAGCACTGGTCGGCTCGGCCGCTAAGAGGGTTTTGCGATATCTAGCAAGTACATCGGGCATGAGGTTAGTGCTAGGAGGACGCAGGCCAGTGGTCCTCACTGGGGCACACAGACGCTTCTTGGGCAGACGACTCTGAGACTCTTAGGTCGTCTCAGGGCTACTGTTTCGGCCTTGGTTCGGGTGCTATCTCTTGGAGATCCACTCGCTCGTCGTCTGTTGCTCAGTCCAGCTGTGAGGCTGAGATCTACGCTGGTGCCATGGCGGCACAGGAGCTCCGCTGGCTGACCTTCTTGCTCACTGACTTAGGTGAGCGGCCTAGTTCTGCCCCGGTCCTGTACGCTGACAACAGGGCCATGATTCTCCTGTGTCAGGAGCCTCGACTTTGAGGGCCGGGCGAAGCATATCCAGCTGCGGTACTTCCTCCTGCGCGAGCTACAGCAGCGTCGCCAGGCCCGCGTCGTTCACTTGGCCTCCGGTGCCAACACAGCTGATATCTTTACTAAGGCGCTTGCGCCTAGAGATCATCAGCGGCACTGTGTACAGCTTGGTCTTGTTCCTGTAGCTTCTCACTTGTTAGGACCCTGATTGTGTTCTCTCTACTATATATATACCTGTCTGACTAGCCTTGTGGCCTTACCTCCAGTGGCTGGACTAGTAGTGCCGCCCTGGTTGGTTTTAGTCTTGTTTGTACTCTTGCTGACTGGTCTTCAGACCCCTGTCTCAGTGGTTGGACTAGTAGTGCCACCCTGGGCTGTGTGCTTCTTGCTTAGCTTCACCCCTTTTCTAGCCTAGGGGGTGTGTCAACTTATACATATTATCTATGTAGAAGTTATAGGCTAGACTAGGTGTGTGCTTCTAGTGAGTACAACCAACTGGTATTTGTTCTATGTTTCTCTTCCTAGTAATTCATTCGTTTCTACGTTAACAAGGCGGATGTCCATGAAAGTAGGGACGGAGTCCACGGGAGAAGCGAAAGGTTGATGTGGTGTCCATGAAAGTAGGGGTTGTCCACGAAAGTATGAAAAGATTTGCGGACAGTCCGCGGCAGTAATTTTCCCAGAAAAGTGTCTTGATTAGGAAGAGAGAGGAGTACAAGGAGGGGTTTGTACCCTCTACAGAAAGGTTCATTAACAACCTACCAAGCCTAGATTAAATTATAACTTACTTAATTTTAACACACCCCCTAGGCTTGGTTGGTAGTGTCAAGCCCACTCACACCCCCACACCCACACCCACACCCACACCCACACCCCCTAGCCCAGCACCCCCAGTCCCAACAGGAGCCGCAACGACTCCAGAAGCGGGCAGCTCCCACGGCCCGTGGGATGGCAATGGCGGTAGCAGCGACATTGACGACAGCAGTGGCGGCGGCGGCGTGCCGCGGCGCCCGGCCCGCGGCAACAGCGGCAGCAGCGCTACTTATAAGCGCGTCTTACAGCTCATTACAGCGCTAATTAGCGCCAATAAGTCCCAGCTCATTACAGCGCTAATTATCGGCGATCGGGTCCTTATCAGCTCATAATTTTAACAACATTCTCTCGATCGAAAAGCTTTCTGTTCGTTCGGAGATGGTGGCTCAACGTCACGCTATTCAGCTACTTGATACACCCCCTACCCAAATACATGTTAGCCAAGAAGTAGCTATGTTTGATTGGTGTCATGATCACCAAGCATACGGTCCTTCGTACTAAATAAAGAACCTCTATTCTTACTTTCCCATCCTCAGCATGTCAAGAAGTGTCTTCGCCTTGGCCCCTGCATTCCCTTCACTCTCCTTATGGAACTTATGCAGAGCCGGAATGACCCCCTCCTTAATCAAAACCTCTAACACGCCCGCATCACTCGCAGCCATTCTCAGCAGCGTTGCCACCGCCTCTTCCTTGGCCCGCTGCGACGACATCTCCAACACATCTGTAATGGCCTCCACCCCATTCGCATCCCAAATGGCCCGCCTGCCTTGGGGAAACTTTGAGAGGAGAGAGAGGATGGCCATTGATCGCTCCTCCAGCCCTTGATCCGACGACTGCAGGAGCCCGATGAGAATGGGGACCACGCCAGTGGCAAGTAAATCAGGGATGGTAGGGAGACGTCTGTGAGGCCTGTTTCCCCCGTGCTCCTCCTCCCCCTCCTTACCCTCTCTGCTCTCTGCTCCTGTGGCGTCGTTGCTTCGGATATCTTCTGCCGCTTCCTCCACTGCCGTTGCTTCTGCGCCTGTTCCTGCTTCGCCCGCTGCTGCTGCTGTTGCTTCTGCTGCTGGTGCTGCTGGTGCTGCTTCTGCTGCTGCTGCTGCTGCTGCTGCTGCTGCTGCTGCTACTGCTGGTGGTGATGCTGGCGTTGCATTACCATGGGAAGCACCATTCGGCCTAGGGATTGCATTCGGGCAGCCATAAAGCGCAGTACCACAGAGCCACCTGACCAAACTCCACGTGGTCAAAATAGCGTCTCTCTGCCCTCGCACACTGCTAGTCTGCAGCAACCCCACCAGCGGCGGCAATGCTCCCCTCTCAACCACCAGCTGCTTCCGCTCCTCAGTGTTCACCAGGCAAAAAATCGCTGCTGCCGCATTTTCCCGGGCAGCCTCGTTGTTTTCTGCCCCCCGAAGAACGTCTACCAACGCCTCCAACCCTCCTTCCGTGAAAATTTCTTTCTGCCCGGCTTCCATCCGGCATATGTTGAAAATTGCCGTGACTGCATGTTCCACAGTCAAAGAGTCAGGAACTCTCATTAGACTGACCAGAAAAGGTATCCCACCTGACCGAATCAGCCTTTCTTTGTTTTCCGGGCAGCCCTTAAGCGCTCGCCTGACACAGTAAACCGCGTCGCGAATCTCCTCCTCCGTACCGCTCGCGACCGCGGATATAAGCGGCCCCAGTTTAAGAGGCTCTACAGTCGGCCGCGCCGCGGGAATGCCGGACGAAAAAGAGCGGGAACCAGGGAGGCCCGATTCGCTTAATCTCTGCGAGCGAGGGGTCGGGATGCCGCCAGCTGACGTGGCGAGCGGGCAGAACGCGTATATATCGCTGTTGTCCACGTGGTGATGACTCGTCACCGATCCGACGGTTCTCATCGTCCCCGCGTTCATCGAGATCGAACGGCTGTACTGGCCCCGCTTGCTGGGCGCGGTGCGCGGGCGGGAGGAGAAGGAGGAGGAGGCGGAGGAGACGGAGAAGGCGGAGGGGGAAGGGGAAGCGCCCATAGGGCTGGGAATGGGGGAGGAGGAGACAGAGGAGTGCTTGGACGAGGCGGCGGAGAGGCGGAGAAAGGTGGCGGAATTTTGCGGCGACTCGGTGGGCGAATGGATGCCGGGAGATCGCTCGGACTCGCCGGATAGATCGTACGCGTTAGAAGCGGGTCCGGATCGCGGACTCGGTAAGTGCAGCTGGAGAACGTCTGGACGATGATGCCGAGGACCCTTAGGAGAGGGTCGCGGAGGGATATTGGCGGCGTCATAGTGTCGCGGACTATCTTTAATCTCCGCGCCTCCTAAGTCGCCGCTGCTGCCTTTGCCGGGAGACTCGGGCGGTGCGGCAGGCATCGCTGCCGGACCTGAAAACGCGTACGGCTGGCGCGGCATTAGAAACGAATTGAGAAATAAAAATGGATTAGAAGACTAAATGATGGCACTAGTCCTCAGTGTCAGACCGTCAGGTCAGATTAGGGTTTCGTTCGCTAAGCTTCAGCGACAGACCCTACGAGTCGAACGCGAAGCCGAACCGAAAATGCGTCGGCAACCAACGGAAGCAGCTTCCTTCCAGAAATAACGACTCTAATGGCGTCCTAGTCCTTCCCACCATCTTATCGCTCCTTGCCGACAGAAACGGGGGGTGCTTGCTTGTGTTGAGACAAGCTGACTAAAAACCCTATCACGAGTCAGTCAGGGCGTGGTGCTTAGGGTGGTACTTTCAGAATTGCGCAACTAGTTGTGGTTTTGGCGAAGTGTTTTGCCCATGCCACAATTTTGTAAAATCGAGCAAAAAGGGTTTACGAGGGACCTTCAAATATTCACGAAATCGTAACAGGTCTTGATTATGTAACCTGGCGGGGTTGCGCAACTTTATGCACCACGCCCCCAGAATCAGTCAGGAGTCCATCAGGTCAGAGGGGGCAGTCCAAGGAGGAGGAAGAGGTGGATTGTTGATGTCTGTGGGGTCACTGGGTGATCCTGGTGACATTTCACGAGGTTAGAGACGTTTCGTGCAATATTACGTGAGACAATATGTTTTATTGTGGTTCAGCGTGGTAGAGAACCTCGTCACGTAGTGGAGACAGTGTACGCGGTTTACGTGCAAAGACGTTTGTCACTTCTGTCAGGTGTTCAGAAATTGCATTCGAGCCACATTATACAATCTGCCAACTATATTATGGGACATTCCTTGTTACGAGTGTTTCACTAGAGTCGCGCGGAATCTAATGTCGAGGTTCAGAATAACAGAATGTGGTACAATGGAATGATGAAGCAAGTTATAGGAACACCAGAGCAATCCTAACCGTGTGATCGAACAGGTTCGAAGAAGGCATCCGAGGACGCGGAGCGCTTCGGAGTGACGCGGAAATGGTTCGGTGTCGTGTTTGTCAGAACTCAGTCACTAACCACTGAGTTAAAAGGGCTTGTTAATAGCGGGTCAGTGTGCCCATAGCCCCCTAGGCTCTGCACCTGTGGCCCTTCCCCGAGGATCTTCTCAAGGGTAACCCTAGCGGGTCACTCGACACCCCCCCTCGCTGGGATAGGAGGAAGACACGAGTGCCTCTGCAGCGCTAGCACTGGGAATTGAACCTGAGTCACCAATGCTCTGATACCATGTCAGAACTACGTCACTAACCACTAAGTTAAAAGGGCTTATTAATAGCATGTCAGTGCGCCCATAGCCCCCCAGGCTCTGCACCTGTGGCCCATCCCCGAGGATCTTCTCAAGGGTAACCCCAGTGGGTCACTCGACAGTATTCGGACCGAAGCTAGGGCAGGTGTTTGTTAGAGTAGCGGAAAATTTTGTATAGAATATCGATACATTGCGATTTTGTCGAAGTGGTTGTACTATCCAAGCGTACGCACCTATCTAGCCTAGAGCAACATATAAATATATGTTTGACACACCCCCTAGGCTAGATAAGGGGCAGTTTCGAGCGAGAGACACAAAGCTCAGGGTGGCACTACAAGTCCAACCTCTGAGGCAAGGGTCCGAAGACCAGTCAGCAAGAGTACAAGCTAAAAAGAGCAACCCAGGGAGGCACTACTAGTCAAGCCACTGGAACAAGAGCCATTCAAGATAAAATAAGCTCAGCCTCATATCTAGACTATGTAGCAGACGACGAGCGGGTGGACCTCCACGAGATGGCGCCTGCGCCAAGGCTAAAGCAGTAAGCCTTGGGAGGACCTGAGCGTCTCAGCGCCGTCCGCCCACGAAGCGTCTGTGTGCCCTTTAAGGACCACTGGCCTGCGTCCTCCTAGCACTAGCCCCATGCCCGATGTACTTGCTAGATAACGAAAAACTATCCTAGCGGTCGTCCACTGCTGTGGTCGGTGCCTGCCTATGGCCAAAAAGCGAGCCAGGATGCTGAGAGGGTATGCGAGATCTGGACGAGTGCAAGTCATCAGGTACATGAGGCAACCCACCAGCTCTGTGTAAGGACAACTAGGCTCTACATACTCCCCAGGGACTGGAGCCGAGAGCCTTTCATCTACTGGCAGAGGTGTGGGCTGTGCGGAAGAGAACTGAGGGCCGAACCTTTGAAGGACCTAGCGCACCAAGTGTGACTTGGTAAGAGTGACGGTGCGCGTTGCTCTGTCCCTGGAGATCTGCAGGCCAATGTAGCGGCACAGCTCTCCTCGGTCAGTGCAGGTGTGTTTCCTCAACAACTCAGCCTTCACGGAGGTCAGCGCGTCTCTGTCTGCAGTAGCGAAGACCATGTCGTCTACATAGACAAGGATGTAGAACGGGGTCTGGCAAGCACGAACGAAGAGCGAGGGGCCTGCAGACGACGCGAAAAACTGCAAGTCAGCTAACGTAGCATGCAGCGTGTCATGCCACTCATAGGGTGCCTGCCGCAGGCCGTAAACCAGGCGCCAGAAGGTCCCCAGGGCGAAGGTGCCGGTGAAGCGTGGCGGACGATGCATGTAGAACTGCTCATGCAGACTGCCATCGAGAAATGCTGTCGAGAAGTCGAGAGAGTGGTGGTCATAGTCACGCAGTGCTGCTATGTAAAATAGCGCCCGAAGAGTGGTCATCTTCAGGGTCGGGGCGAAGGTCTGAAAGAAGTCAACACCCCCACGCTGACTGAAGCCTCTAGCAACGTAGCGCGCCTTAAATATCGGTGACTCTCCAGGAGGGCACTTCACTTTGAGGAGCCACCGACCATCGACAACTTTCACCCGAGGTGGGGGAACTGCGTAGATGAAGGTGCAGGTGGATCTCTAAGATGCCATCTCCACGTCCATGGCAGCTATTCACTGAGAGGCCCAGAGTCCCCAGGTCACCTCAGCGTAAGTGTGAGGGGTCGGGATGTCAAAAGCGTCTGGGTCCCCCTCACGGACTAGTAGCATGGAGCAGAGATGAGGCGCAGCCTCGGACAGGAAAGCTAGCTCGAACTGCCTGTCCTCTAGGACGTCAGTGCCAAGGGCAGGTGCACCCCCAAAGGACGGAGGAGGGGCGGGGTCAGAGACCAGAGCGGCGGCGTAGTCAAGGCGGCGGGTAGCGGAAATATCTGTAACAGCAGCGACAAGAGCGTTAAGACTAGAGAGAGGAACAGACGGGTCGGTAACCAGAGAGGCAAGGACTCGAAGAAAAAGAGGACTAGCGGCACGGAGGAAGTCAGACAAGGGAGGCAGAGCGACATCCAACGACGACGGAGGAGGCGACGTGAGGAGGGGAGGCGCAGACTGGCAGTCTGGGGAGGGAAGACCGAGGAGGCGAAGGGCAGACACCGGCGGCGACTGCTGCTGCTGCTGCTCCACGCCAACACCCCCAGAGGGAGAACCCTCTTAAGCACCGGTGCCACCCCTAGGACCATTGGGACGAGCCACAACAGTAACCCCAGGACTAGCACCCTCCTCAACGCCCGCACCCTTGTTAGGATTAAGGACGGAGTCTAGGTGAACTTAGGAGCTAGAATTACTCAAAATATAAATCCGAAATTCTGGACAGAAAAGTCGTCTTCACAAGAAACGACGTCGACAAACAACTAGCCGTTGGAATGTCGCGAAACTTGGATATGTTGTAGCTCTTAATCTCAGCTACCGTTCCCAATTTGAATCATGTTGATTGATAAAGTATTCGCGACGCTATGGCTTTCGACGCACTAGGGGGTAAGCTGTAGGAGGAGAACTTAACTCAATCTCAAAGGTTCAATCAAAGTTCAAGAATCTCACAAGGAATTAGAGGAGCAAGAGAAAGGTTGGGATAGAAAGAGAGGGACGAGAGGGAAGGTCCCAAGAGAGTCCCCAACCAAGGAAACCCCATAAGCACAAAGATTCCCTCCCTATAGGAACCTCAACTTTGACCTTTGTCCCTTCCCAACCAATCCATCCAAGTTGGCCACCCTTGCCAACCTAGCTTGGTTGTTCCCAACCAATTTGCACCTGTTACAGTAGAGTGACAAATTTCCCCAACCCCAAAGGTCCCAACTCCATATAGAGTCACCCCACAACTTCACTTTGTAACCGCCGCAATTGTAACGCAAGCTCATGAACTTTGAATCTTCATAGCTTTCGCGTTCTTGCTCCGATTGAAGCGATTCTTGTTGCGTCGGAAAGATCTTCTCAAGATCTATCATCGCAAATACCTGCTCAAACAGAATAACACAAAACACATTCCCAAACTCCAGAACACACCACACAAATTCTTTCACACACAGTCAAACCATACATGCGAATTGAAACAAGGGATGGGAGGAAGACAGAATGTGATAGCATATGATAACATCACACAACAATCTCCCCCTCTGGCTGCCAACCATCATCCACCATACCAACATCTCAAGCATGCATACTCAATGCACACTCATCCCAGCAAGCTTCATGCCCTTCCAATGATCCGCCTCCGCCAGACGCTTGGTGAAAATATCTGCTGCCTGCTGATGGGTCTTCACTATCTCCAGCCGCACCTCCTTATCAAGGAGTCTCCTCACCCAATGCCACTTAGGCCTTATGTGTTTTGTCAGCCCATGCAGACAAGCATTCTTGGCGAGCTTCACAGCGGACTCATTGTCACAAAACACAACTGTCGGCTTCTCCTGACCAACTCCCAACTCCTCCAACAAACGCCTTAGCCACACTACTTCCTTGGCCCCATGGTGTAAGGCCATGTACTCAGTCTCACATGAGGACAATCCCACCTCATTCTGCTTCTTGCTGCGCCAGCTCACAGCACCACCTCCTAGCAAGCACACATAACCCACAATGCTGGTGCCATCCGCTTTCACTGAGTTGAAGCTAGCGTCAGTATAGCAACTCAAGAGCATCTCTCCACTCTTCACATCTGCAGCACCTCTCTGCAACCGCTGCCTCACTCCACTGTACTCCAATCCCACTGATGCCGTAGCACTCACATAGCGGACCAACCTCTTGGCCGCTTCCAGCTGCTCATGACTAGGGCGTGAGACCACACTAGCCAACCGTGATGTAGCAAATGCAATGTCAGGCCGTGTATGATTTGCAGCATAATTCAGCGACCCAACCATCGAATGAAACAGCTTCCTGTCACTATCACCCACTACCTCCTCATCAGCACATGGCTCCACAGTAAACCCTGAAGGTAGTGGTGTTGCTGGCTTTCCCCCATCTTGCAGCCCATACTTCTCAGCCAGCCCCTCACAGTACTTCCTCTGGTGCAACCTCAGCACACCCTTTTCCACATCTCTCTCCACGTGCATCCCCAAGTAGTACTTCACCTCACCCATCTTGGAGCACTTGAACTGCATCTCCAGCATCTGCTCTGCGCTGTCCAGCAAAGCAGTTGATGCAGAAAAGAGAAGGATATCATCCACATACACCAAGAGCATGAGGATTTCATCCTTCTCCTGCAGCAGGAACAGGCTGGGGTCACACTCACTCTTCTTGAAACCCCCAGCCAACAGCGCCTCCTCCAACTTGTGATACCATGCACGAGGCGCCTGCTTAAGGCCATAGATGGCCTTCTTCAGCCTGCAGACCCTGCCGCTCCCGTCATCCAGCCCCTCTGGCTGCTTCATGTACACCTCCTCCATAATGATCCCATTCAGAAAAGCAGTCACAATGTCCATCTGCCGTATCTTCCATCCCAGGAGTGCAGCTATCGCTAACAGCACCCTCAGTGTTGTTCCTTTCCCCACAGGAGCAAACACCTCATCATAGTCCTTCCCTTTTGTCTGCTGAAACCCCCTTGCCACAAGCCTGGACTTGTAGCGGGTCAGCTCCCCTTCAGGTCCATACTTGTGCCTGTAGATCATCTTGGAAGTGATTGCCTTCTTTCCAGGAGGCAAGTCACACAGGTCCCATGTCTCGTTCTCAATTAGGGACCCGAACTCCTCATCCTCACTCGCCTTCCACTTCTCCCCATTTGGTCCATTCAAAGCCTCCTCTCGAGTCTTGGGCTCAGGGATTGGTGCCCAGTAGCAGTGAGCGATCTCATCTTCCTCAATCTGCTCAACCACACTCCCAGCCTGCACCACATTTGGCTTGCCTCTTCCCCCATAGGTCAGCCTCACTGGAGGGCGCACATCCCTCCTAGGACGCTCAGGCGGGTGTGGAACTCGAGGTGGAGACTCATGCTGCTGCTGCTGCTGCTCTACTTCAGCTGCTCCCCCTTCCTCAGTCACCCCAGACATCTCCTCCTCTGACACTGCAACCTCCACCTGTCTTGAAGGGTGCTGCACCTCATCTGCCTCCACAATGAGCGGTGTAGATGGAAGCTTCTGTTGCTGCTGCTTCCATTCCTTGTAGTACAGGGACTCAAGAAACTTCACATCCCTTGACACTGTCAACTTCTGGGTGGTCAAGTCCCATAGCAGCCACCCCTTGTGATCCTTTGCAATCCCCAAGTGCACACCCCATCTTCCAGAAGCCTCCAACTTCCCCCTTTTCTCCTTGGGCACATGAAACACCACCATGCACCCAAATGCCCTCAGCATGTTCACCGCTGGAGCACTCCCATACCACTTGGCATATGGGATCCACTCCTTATCTCCAACTGTAGCCAGCACCCTATTCTTCACAAGGGCGACCTGCCTCAGTGCAGACACCCAAAACGGATCAGGCAGCCCTGCACGCCCAAGGAGAGTGCGTGCCCCCTCCTGCAGGGTCCTGTTGAACCTCTCAGCCACGCCATTCTGCTGCGGGTTGTAGGGCACTGTCAGTTGATGCTGGATCCCCTTCCTCTTCAACTCCCCCTCAAAATCAGCTCCAATGAACTCCCCACCATTGTCACTGCGGATCACCTTCACCTTGTGTCCGCATTCCCTCTGAGCTCTAGGCATCCACTCCTTAAGGACAGCCGCTGCCACCTCCCCCTTGCTCTTCAAAGGGTAAACCCACACTGCCCGAGTGTGGTCATCCACAATTGTCAAGAAATAGCGGCTGCCTGAGAGGGAAGGGGCTCTTGTGGGCCCCACCACATCCATGTGCACAAGTGCAAGTGGGGTCTTGGCTGGTCCTGTAGTGCTGTTGAAGGGGAACTTGGAGAACTTGGTCTCCAAGCATGTAGGGCAGCTCCCAATCTCCTTCACTCCCCCTTTCACCTCCAAGCCCTTCAGGCTCCCATCCTTCACCAACTTCTGCAGCATAGGGAAGTTCACATGACACAGCCTCTCATGCCATGTCTCCCAATCGGCCTCTCCACTCCTTGATGAAGCCTTAGCCCATGCCGCACTCGCATCCACACCAGCAAGCACCTCACCATGTGTCTGCTGCTGCTGCACTTTCTTGACTGCTTCCAGGACCCCATCAGTTGGTGCAGTTGCATCTCCTCCTGCTGTTGCCTTTGCCGCTGCTGCCGTTGCTGCTGTTGGAGTCTTCCCATTCCATGGGATGATGGGCAGCTGCCACAGGTCCTTGATGCAGCTGGTCTCCTCTTCCAGACTCCACAGCACCTTCTTCCCAAGCTTAGCACGGCAGCTGGTTGGTCCAAAGGTCACTTCGGCCTTACTCTTCTGCAGTCGCCGCACAGAGAGAAGGTTAGCAGACAAGCCTTTAACCAGCAGAACATTCCCAAGCCCCACAAGCTCCCCATTAGCTCCCTTAACCTTGGCATTCCCAACACCAATCACGGGGAGCAAAGCACCTGACGCTGCTGCCACATACTTAATCTTCCCAGGGGGTTTTACCTCATCAAGCAAATCTGCCCGTGGAGTCATGTGACTGGTGCAACCCGAATCAATCACCCAGTGCGTGAGAGGGTGCATCACAACCTTTCCCACAGATCCCACATCACCCTCATGCCCATGCACATCCTCAACCATAACAAACAAACCAGGATAGGCATTACCTTGTGCACCTTCACCTTGTGCACCTGAGCCTTGCACAGCGCCACCTTGTGCGCGTTCACCACTGGGCGGCTTCATGCCTGGAGGTGCCCATCCCTCCAGCCTGCTGAAGCACTTGAACCAAGGATGCCCGACCTTCTTGCAGTACCAGCAGGTGCCCTCCATTCTGGTACTCCCCCTGCCACTGGAGCTTCCATGCCCCTCATTATAGTCACCTCGGCCTCTACCTCTGCCAAAGCTCCTCCCACGGCCTCGGCCTCTCCAACCCCCTCTTCCTCTGCTGCGCCCTGCAGCTCCATACCCCTCAGCAGTCTTAGTGGCAGCACCGCCTCCCACATGGCGTCTGCGGAAGTCCTCCTGCAGAATCTGCTGCCTTAGCCACTCAGGTGTCCATTGATCTTGCTGAGAGTTGAGGGTGGGGATGAGGTTGTCCCAAGAGTTGTCCAACACCGAGATGATCTTGGTGCACTGCTGCAGCTGAGATACACTACTGCCCGCTGCTGCCATCCTTGCATAGGTGTCCTTGATCTTGTCAAGGACCGGCTTCACATCGTCCCCTGGTCGCATGGAGATGGCAGCAAGTTCCTTCTCGAGCACGATCACCATCGGGAGAGTGTTGGGCTGAACCACATCACGTAGTAGTTTCCACGCCCTTGGACCCGAATCATCCGCTTCCACAAGATCCTTGATGTGCTCGAACATCTCCTTGTTGACCGATTGAAGAATGAGGTCGAAAAGCACCGCGCTTTTCTCAATCCACCGTTCACGTGCTTCGCCTTCTTCCGGCATCTTCTCTTCCCCAACAGCAATCTTCAGGAGCTTGTAGCGTTTGAAGGCACTCCTCATCCGTCCGCTCCATTCCTCATAGTTGGAGCCATCCAAAGCTTCAACTTTTGATGGCGGCGGCTCACTTGTCTTCTCAGCTACAGCTCCTCTTCCATTAGCATCTCCTCCTCTCTCATTCATCTTCTCCTTGAGAAATGACGAATTTCAGCTCCCCTTTGCTGTCCACACTCAGCTCCCTCGATATTTTCACAAGTGTCGGCGTCCACGAAATTTCGGCAGAGTTTCCCCTTAGCGGAAGACACATCCAACCTTTAGAACACCACTTAGGCACACCCACAGGCCATGGTGGGTCTAGAAGGGTCTTCACACTTCTGTAGACTCCTCTCAATGTCCTTAACCTCGCTCTGATACCACTTGTTAGGATTAAGGACGGAGTCTAGGTGAACTTAGGAGCTAGAATTACTCAAAATATAAATCCGAAATTCTGGACAGAAAAGTCGTCTTCACAAGAAACGACGTCGACAAACAACTAGCCGTTGGAATGTCGCGAAACTTGGATATGTTGTAGCTCTTAATCTCAGCTACCGTTCCCAATTTGAATCATGTTGATTGATAAAGTATTCGCGACGCTATGGCTTTCGACGCACTAGGGGGTAAGCTGTAGGAGGAGAACTTAACTCAATCTCAAAGGTTCAATCAAAGTTCAAGAATCTCACAAGGAATTAGAGGAGCAAGAGAAAGGTTGGGATAGAAAGAGAGGGACGAGAGGGAAGGTCCCAAGAGAGTCCCCAACCAAGGAAACCCCATAAGCACAAAGATTCCCTCCCTATAGGAACCTCAACTTTGACCTTTGTCCCTTCCCAACCAATCCATCCAAGTTGGCCACCCTTGCCAACCTAGCTTGGTTGTTCCCAACCAATTTGCACCTGTTACAGTAGAGTGACAAATTTCCCCAACCCCAAAGGTCCCAACTCCATATAGAGTCACCCCACAACTTCACTTTGTAACCGCCGCAATTGTAACGCAAGCTCATGAACTTTGAATCTTCATAGCTTTCGCGTTCTTGCTCCGATTGAAGCGATTCTTGTTGCGTCGGAAAGATCTTCTCAAGATCTATCATCGCAAATACCTGCTCAAACAGAATAACACAAAACACATTCCCAAACTCCAGAACACACCACACAAATTCTTTCACACACAGTCAAACCATACATGCGAATTGAAACAAGGGATGGGAGGAAGACAGAATGTGATAGCATATGATAACATCACACAACAACCCTCAGAGCTCACGGACCCCTGCGGCGGCTGCTGCGGCGGCGACGGGGACGGCTGTTGCGGCTGCGGCGGGGATGGCGGCGGCTGCAGCGGCGGCAGAGGAGGGGACACCAGGGCAGAGACAGGCATCGACACCGAAGCCGCCGGGCCCTCAGAGTCAGCCGACTCCTCGACCGGGACAACCGACGGGAGGGGAGTGACGTGAGACATACCAGGCGGGGCAGGACAGGGAGGAAGAGGAGCAAGGGCTACTAGGGGAGTGGGGACCAGGAACAGGGGCAAAGTAATTGGGAGGCTTCGTTGGGGAAAGCGGGTGTCGAAAGAGACAGACTCGTCAAAAGTGACGTCGCGGGAGTGAAAGAAACGGTGAGACGGCGGGTGATAAAAGTGACAGTCAAACGCGTCGAGAGGCAAACCAAGGAAGACACAAGGGACGGTATGGGCAGTGAGCTTGTCCATGCCAGATGCATGAACGTGAGCAAGGCATCCCCAGACGTGGAACGCAAATGCGCCACCATGGAACCCGGTCCAGAGAAGGTTCGGCGAAACCTACGGCTGCTAGGAGTGTGACCACATGTTAAGTTGGCGAGCAGCGTAGTGAACCACGAACGACCACAAAAAATGAGGTGCACCAGCATGGATCATTCTGTTGTGGGGAGTCTGGCAGGGTCTACGACTGGGTGATGCCCTCCCCACGACAGAATTGGCCAAGCCGATCGGAGGCAAAATCGCTGCCATGGTCGGAGTAGAGACGCAGCACAGGGAGGCCACGGTGGACTCGCACAGCTACGACCCACGAGATAAGGGCGTCAGACACGTCGGCCATCCGCTCTAGGGGGAACACCGTGGTGTAGCGCGTGAAGTCGTTGACAAGCACTAGAAAGTAGCACTCGCGACGCGGCCCAGGGACGGGGGCGGGGTCCTAAATGCCCAGGTGCAGGGTCTGGAGTGGCTTAGAGGTAGGGGGGAGCGAGGAGTACTGGGGAGCACGGCGCAGCCGACCCTCGACATAGGGCGTGCATGGCGGCGCAGGCGAGGGAGGGAGGGCAAGGAGCAACGCAGGGAGACCACAGACAAGCCTCTGATGGGACATGTAACACAGACGTGGAAGAGCGGGGTGACATAGGTAGTGGTGCCACAAAAGTGAAGGGTGAGTGAGCTTCCGACACGAGCAGGCTGCCGCTACCTGAGTGGACGCGACGATATGGGGGGACGCTCCCACCGAAGGGGACGCTTCCACCGAAGGTGCTTGGGGTCCGATCCCAAAGTTTGTGCATGGTCGTGATGAAATCATGAGCGGGTTGGACTGTGGCTGGTATGGTTGACTGTTGAGGTGTGAGTGGGTGGCGTCCGTAACAGAGGAAGAACGGCGTCTGTCCAGTAGCGGCGTAAGTAGCATTGTTGTAGGCAAACTCCAGGATGGGCAGATGCAAGTCCCATTGGGAGATGTCGTCCTTGCAGGCTGCACGGAGGAGTTGCTCCACAATTTGGTTGAGGCGCTCGGTCTGTCCATCTGTCTGCGGATGGTAAGCGGATGACATGGCGAGTTTGGTCTCGAGCAGAGACATAAGTTCTTCCCAGAATTTACTGGTGAGCTTAGGGTCTCGGTCGGAGATGAGTGTGGTCGGAATGCCATGTTGTGAGATGATGTAGCGAACAACAAATTGTGCACGAGGAAGAGGCTGTAGCAGACCCGCCTTTTTCTGCTTGCTGCGCTTCATCCGCTGACATGTAGTGCACGAGGTGACGAATTCCTGTACGGCATCTGCCATGTGGGGCCAGTAGTAGTGTTTGGCGATACCGGTGAGCGTCTTGTTGCAACCGAAGTGTCCCGCGTATAGGACGTCGTGGTATTCTTCGAGTAGTAACTGGCGCAATGGAGGGTAATTAGGTACCCAGATCTTCATTGATCCTTTTCGGTACGCGATGTCGTTGTCCCACTGTAGCAGATGTTGCTTTTCAGCCAAGGGAATTTCTGGGTCGATGGTATACCCGTGTATGAAGAGTCCCTTGAGGAGTGGATTCATCCCTTCAACTTGGATAGCGTCAACGTGTGCAGGCCGGCTAAGCGCATCTGCTTTATTTTTGCGGCCGGGCTTGTACACGATGTCGTAGTGGAAGTGTGTCTCGAGGAAGTCAATCCACCGGACCTCCCGCCTGGAGAGGCTTGGTTGCGTCTTCAAATATTTAAGGCTGCAATGGTCGTTGTAAACTGTCGTCTTGCGCCCTTCGAGATAACATCTCCACGTTTTGAAGGCGATTATGATAGCAAGGGCCTCCTTGTCGTGTATCGGGTAGTTGAGTTCTGCTCCATGTAATTTTTTGCTGAGGTTGGCGATTGGTTGCAGGCCATTCCCTTGGTCTTGCATCAAGACTGCTCCCACTGCCTGGTCGCTGGCGTCAGCTTCGATAACATAGTCGCGTTCGGGGTCTGGCAAGATGAGTACGGGTGCGGACGTGAGTGCTTGTTTCAGCTGCTCCACGGCTTCCTGGTGTTGTAGCTCCCATTTATAGGGCGTGTTCTTCTTTTGCAGATTCGTGAGTGGCGCGGCGATCTTCGCGTATTGTGGCACGAACCTGTTGTAGTAGTTAGCAAAGCCAAGGAACTGCTGTAACTCCTTCACGTTCTCGGGTGTCTTCCACGTACGCACGGCTTCGATTTTCTTGGGGTCGACGTGAACTCCTTGAACGCTTACAATATGTCCAAGGAATTGGACCTTCTCGAGGGCGAAGTTGCTCTTGGATAATTTGACGTAGAAGCGTTCTCGTCGAAGAATTTCGAAGACGCGTCGTAGGTGCTCGACGTATTGTTGCATGTTGCGCGAGTAGATGAGGATGTCGTCCAGGTACACCACCACGCATTCGTCCAAGAGTGGGCGTAGGGTATGATTCATCTCTGCTTGGAAAGTTGCAGGTGCGTTGGTGAGTCCGAACGGCATGCCCAAATACTCGTACGATCCGTACCGAGTTCGGAAAGCAGTCTTGTGAACAGAATCGTCCGCCATTCTTATGTGCCAGTATCCGGACCGCAGATCTAGTTTTGAAAATACAGTAGCTCCCCGAAGCTGGTCAAGCAGGTCATCGATTCGTGGTATTGGATATTTGTTCTTGATGGTCTGCTTGTTGAGAGCTCGGTAGTCGATGCACATGCGCAGGCTTCCGTCCGGTTTCGGTGTGAAGAGCACTGGGGCACCGTATGGCGAAGTGGATGGTCGGATGAGTCCTTTGGCGAGGAGATACTCGATCTGCTTCTTCATGTCGGCTAGTTTTGTGGGGCTTAGCCGATATGGTGCTCGGAAGGTCGGTTTCGAACCTGGTTCCTCCACGATCTTGTGTTGGTGCGTTTGGTATGGCGGTAGTTCGTCCGGGAGGTCGTCGGGAAGAATGTCTTGGAACTCCTTCAGCAAGTCCTTGATTTTTTCTGGAGGTTCCGAGACTTTCTCTCCGTCATTCTCCACGTCTTTTGCTATCGCCAGGAACCCGGTGTCGGTTCGTTTCACGTCCTTCTCGAATCTGGCGAGTGTCTCCACTGGGATATCTCCTATATCGTCCCAGTTGGGTAGCTGGACTCTCCTTCCTTTGTTGTAGATGCTTGCGGTGCGGTCTACCCAGTTGATCTCGGGGTTGAACTTCTTGAGGAAGTCTCGCCCGAAGATCAAGTCAAGCCCTTTTATGTTGGTGATGGGGAGAGCAGGTTTCCAGCGCAGTGGACCGATTTGTAGGTGTAGCACTGCTTCGCCGTACACTGGTAACTTGCTGCCGTCCACCATCGTTGCAGAAAATGCAGATGGCTTGTACTCTTCTCGAAGTCGGTCGATGGTTGCCTTGTCGCATACAGTGTGCGATGCTCCGCTGTCCACGAGTGCTTGGAGGCGTCGTCCTTTGCAGATGACCTCGAGCACGAAGGGCAGGCGTTGCTCAGAGTACCCAAAGATAGTTTCATTGATTGGGTCGTAGGGTACGTCTCAATATTCGATGCTTCCTACTCCTGATCTGGCAGCTGGCCGAGGCTGCTTGGAGAAAGGTTCTTCTCCAGGGCCCGGAGTTTCCGTGACGACTGTTCGTGTCGTTGACAAAGTTGCCGAGTTGGATGCATCCGAAGAAGAAGGAGTTCGGGGTTTTTGCAGCTTCTTGTAGACCCCCAGCTTCCTTTTGAGCTGCTTCAGCTCCACCGACGTCTTCCCTGGGGAACGGGTAGTCGCTATGGGCTGGTGTCGGGAGAGGACGTTGACTCCGTGGAAAGGTCAGCTTCTTTCCATACTCCTTAATTTGGTCCCCAAGTTCTCCGGTACCGGTACAATCTCCACAATTTTATGCTTCTTCTGGAGTCCTTCCCGAAATTTCTCCAAGGCTCTAGTCCCTCGAGAATTACAAGTTTTCATTAAAGCATCTTTGTAAGATAAATTTAACGAGTCCTTATAATTTCTTGGGTCTTCAAGGAGTTTCCCCAACTTGGTAGAGTCCTTTTTCGCGGAGTTAGATTTTTCCTCGGCGATTTCCTCTGGCAAAGACTGGTCGTGGGGTGGAGATTTCCCCCCATCATTTTCTCCTGTTCGCGTCGAATCAGCTGCGTCGAAGTTGATTTTTCCGGAAGTCCGCGGCCTTTTTCAGATCTTTTCTTTTTCGCCAGCTAGATCCGCAATCACTGGCGAGTCCCGTTTTTTGGCTTCTGATCGGCCGAAGGATTTCCGCCACTGTTGCGTGCCCGATACTCAGCGCGTGCGGCTTTCATTTTGTTGCAGTCAAAGATTCGATGACCCGGAACCCCGCAAAAATCACACGTGTAGTTGGTGCTTTTCGGACGTGGCTGCCCTTTGAACCTGTCGACTTCCATCGGGTCGGCGAACGTGGTGTGTGCCGAGCGGTCGCCCTGTCGCATACTGCCGACGTGCGTCCGTCGTGCCCCGGCGTTGACCATGTCGAAGCGTTCAGCGGCCGATACGACGTCACTGTAGCTCGCGTAGTTTGTTGCTACCACTTGTCG